TTAAAAAACAACAGCAACAGAAAGAGACAAACACGTTAGCGTATGCTTGGCAACGGCTTGAGCACAATACGTTAACTACATGATGAAAGTGAGCGTGAGGACGCTGATGAAATATAGTGTTCGTCATCATCAAAATCATCATCATTGCAATTGTCATCGTTGCCATCGCCATCATCTTAATCGCAATCGTCATCAGAACCATCCCCATCATCATCATCATCATCGTCGTCGTCCTCAGCCCCATCATCGTCATCATCATCATCATCATCATCATCGCACTCGTCATCATCAACTCCAGGAGGATCCAAGAGGCCTCCAAGAAGCTCAAGAGGCGCCCAAGAGGCCCCCAGAGGCCCCCAGACTGCCCCTAAGAGGTTTCAAAACTGCTTTCAACAGATCCCCGAGATGCCTCCCACCATATCCCAACGAACATCCAAGAGGCCTCAGGTGCCTTCTCGAACAATCGCCATCGAACATGCTGAGCCTGATGAGGGGAGGAGCGTGAGGGAGCCAGGAGGAGGAAGAGAAAGATGGTCGTTGGGGTGCGCTGGGGGGGGGGGGGGGGGGGGGCATATATATATATATACATATATATATATATATAGATCGATGGACTTTCACTACCAACGCAAAACATGCAACACGCACACAATACCAAAAAAAACAGACTCAGGGGTGAGTTGCTCCTCTTGGGATTTCTCCCCCAGTGGTAGACCCTTCTCTCTTCCGCCACAAAAGGAATCAATGCGGCCCTCCCCGCACTCATGGAAGTGATGGGTAACCCCGCACAGCGGGAACCTATGTGTAATTTCCACATAAAGAACAAATATGTGTTCATAGCGCATTCTGTAAATTGTATGTCTATATGTATATATACATATATATATGCATATATGCATCCCCTCTTTCCCCAAAGGCGTTCTAGGTGCATCCCCCCATGACAAGGGAATCTTCGCACAACCCTCTCACACAAGGGGTTGCATTGAAGCAGGAACTGGAGCCCAAAATTCTGGAAACCTCTAGACCTGCGTTGCACCCGCAGGCTCTTTAGACAACGAACCCCTTTAAATCGCAGGCCGTCGCTGCGCCTCCCAACCCCAGGGAGGGTGGATGGGGACAGGGACAACGCGGAGGGAGGGAGGGGAGGAAGAAGGAAGGAGAAGAAGGACAAGAGGAAGGACAAAGGAAAGCTTAGATGCGTCAGCGATGCTGCAAGACACAGTGTCGTTCAAAGTCCTTCCCGCATAAGTCCCTACATGGATTCCTTTCCTTTGCGGGAGGCGCCCCCTGCTGGCCTGCAATTCAAGCGAGACTTCGTTTTGTAAAGGATCCATATTCCATCTCTGCTACACCCAAACAAGATTCCAACAGGTAGGGTCGTAAAGTTCAAGGAAGTGTCCGCGAGAACTGCATTTTGAAAAGGGTGTGCCTCTATCCATGTAAGCGCCACGCAAATTCAAAGGTCTTGCATACATGGACGATTTCACGAAGGAGGGCCCCGTTGAACAAACCTGCTGCCCTGGAGGTGTGGGAGAAGGGGGAGACGAGGAGGAGGAGGCGGCCGACCAGAGTAAACCCAGGATCCACCAACGATGCTGCAGCACACCCCACCGTCGCAAGCCCCTCCTCGTCCCCATAGGCCTTTCTTCCCTTTGCAAGACGCCCCTCCGTGGAGTGACGAGCGCCCGCTGCGCCTGCCGTTCAGAAGCACCCCCCCCGTTTTGGAAAGCATGCGGCGTCAATCCTTCTGGCGGGGAGACAGTCAAAGAGGTACAGTCGGGGCCCTGAAGAAGGAACCCTTTTCGTTGGGGAGGGGCTCCGTGTTCCTTGATTGCTTCACAGCTCGCCTCAGGTTTTCCTTTGGTTTTTGATGGGAAATCGAAGTTTAACTTATGGAAAAAAGGGCCTCGTTCCTTATTTAGGGTTCCTTAGGTCAACGCCCCAACTGCAGGTTGAGCAACATCACGAAAGTGCTCAGCGATAGACCCGCTCTGAGAACGGCCGGCCCTTCCCCCGTGCAAGGCTGGCACAGTCAGAGTCCAGGCAACCAATGTGGAGCGCCAAGCGACAGCCCCAATTCGGGGGGGGGAAAAAAAAAGCATTCCATCCGTGTAGTTCTTGCTCACTTCGGAATGTTGGGTCATAGGATTTGAGGAAGCCTCATGGAGACTTCTTCAATTTCTATGGATCTAGACCTCTGGGCTCTCGCTTAAGACTGAAGCGACAACCACACTTCGAAAACGAACAGGTGTGGAAAGTTGTAAGGCGATTGTGCGCGTCGCTGAGGCGAGAGCAGTATTTAGAAAACCGCCCCTTGCATCCGGGCAACTCTCGGAATTACAGTCAAGACGCTGAAATAAGGAACAGTTTGGGTTCGGAAGGGGCTCGATGTTCCTTAGGTTCCGCCAGTGCTGTTTCTCTTGCCCTCCTGGGGCACGGAGGCGCTTACAGTGCCAAGAAGGGGCTTCGTTCTTTATTTAGCGTTCCTTCTTTCAGCAGCCCGACTGTGTTTAACGCGAATGTGCGCGGCGCGGTGGTGTGGGCCGCATATTGGAAGCAACCCACCCTAAACCTTTCTGTAGCTGGAAGCTAAAAAACGAATGTGCGCGGCGCTCATGCTAGAGCCGCTCAGGCGAGAGCCGCATCTGGGAGACCCACCGACCTATGCCATACAGCTGCTGGAAGCTTGTGAAACGAATACAGTGGAGGCCCATGACAAGAAATACCCTGCTTGCCTCCAGGGTACCCTGTGTTTCTTGTGTGTGTATGTGTGTGTGTGTGTTCGATGCGTTTGCCATGGAAAGCGTGACGCTCCCACGCCAAAAGTCGAAGGGCGTCTTGGGGGTCTCAGGCTTGGGCTTCTGTGGCATGTCTTTTGTGGTCGAGCCCCTATAGTACGCCAGGGCTGGACCTAAACGGTGTTTTGGCGATTTCGTGGCCCGTTTTCGTTTCGACTTCATTCTGCGGTAGAGGCAGATTGAAGACGAAACGAGGGAAAACGAAAACAAAACGAAAACGAAAAACACCGCTTAGGTTCAGCCCTGCTTCAAGGAAGAATTAACGCATGGATGTTCGTCTTGGGACCTGCCAGGGTCGCAGGACGGCCCCAAGAGGGTCGCCGGATGGCTCCTCTACTGCCGAAAACGAAAAACACCGTCTAGGTTCAGCCCTGTGGCACGCGCGGTGCCAAAGGGGGGAGCCTCGTTCGGGGCACGGGCTGCGCGGCTTCCGGGCAGCAGGGCGCGGGGAAGCCTCGGGCGGAGCGCCAGGCCTGCGGGCCCCGTCCGAGGGTGCGACGGGGGGGGAGGTTTCATGAGCCAGACTGGTGGGTGGAGGGAGGGAGGGAGGGAGGGAGGGGGGGGAAGGGAGGATGCGAGGGAGGGGAGGATGAAGAGGAGGAGTTGGAGAAGGAGGAGGAGGAGGAGGAGGACGAGGACCAGATTACACACGGGATGCATCAACGATTCTGCAGTGCACCTTCGCGTCCCAAGTTCCGTCTCCCTACAAGCCCTTCTTGTCACTGCAATTAGCGCTCCCTTAAATGACGAGCTCCTTGCGGGCCTTCCATTACGGCGAGAGCCCCGCTTTGAAAAGCAACTACATTGCATGGTCTAGCGAATGCTTAGTGCGGAAGCCGAAAAGCCAAGATAATAAGACTCGACGAGGTTCCAAGCGAGCGCCCCGTCTGAAAAGGAGCCGCCCACATCCGCGTAATTGTTGCATAAGCTTACGCGTCTGGCCTTAGAAGGTGAGGAAGTCTCAAGCGCGAGCCTCATTTTGAAGAGAAACCTCCCTCCATCCGTGCAGCTGCTATATATATATATACATACATATATGTATATATATATATATATATATATATATATGTTCAAGCTTCTGGCCTTTGGATTCGAGGGGGCCTAAGCGAGCGCCCCAATGTGAAGACCATTTTTTTCAGTTGTTACAACTGCTGCAAACGTTTCAGACGAAGGTGTGCGGCGCTAAGGCGAGAGCCCAAAATTCGACCACCCCCTTTTCGTTTTAGTAACTGCTGCAAGCGTTGAAATCAATGCGTGTGGCGCTAAGGCGAGAGCACTATTTTGAGCACCCCCCTTCCTATCCTTGTGCCTATTGCAAGGCTTTTCAGAATCATGTGCCCGGCATCCAGATGAGAGCCCCAGTTTGAAAACGACCACCCCTCCATCCTCAAAGTGTTTGGAAATCAAGCTTCAGGATCAGAGGTGGTGAGGGGCCTCAGGCGAAACGCCCGGCCCACCCTACCGACACCTGGTGGTGCGGCAGGGAGGAGTCACCTGTAACGGAAAGGGGTGAAGCAGGAGGGGGGGAGGAGGAGAGGGAGGAGGAGGGAGAGGGGCGAGGGAGTGAGCGTGGGGCGGAGGGGAATGGAATGGAGGGAGGGAGGGAGGGAGAGGAGAGGAGGAAGGAGGAGGAGGAGGAGAGGAGGAGGAGGAGGAGGAGGTGGAGGAGGAGGAGACGGAGGAAGAGGAGGACGGGAATGAGCAGAAGGAGGAGCAGGAGGAGGAAGAGGAGGAAGAGGAGGAGGAGGCGGAGGAGGAGGAGGAGGAGGAGGAGGAGGAGACGGAGGAAGAGGAGGACGGGAATGAGGAGGAGGAGCAGGAGGAGGAGGAGGAGGTGGAGAAGGAGGAGGAGGAGGAGGAGGAGGAGGAAGAGGAGTGCTGCCGATGTCTCACCTGGCCCTCCTCTGAGGGAGGACGGCTTCCAGTTCCGCGGCGGTGTCGCCACCCGGACGGCAAGGGGGGGCCCAGGAAGAACCAAGCAGACCCTGCCAGGCCCAAAAGCAAAAGCATGCATCCAGGAGAACCAGGCATCCAGAGACGTTCATCCATCTGGACAGTTAAAGCTCGGGGAAGCTCTGCCTCGTTGTTCTTGGGTCCCCCGGCCCTTGGGGTGATGAAATTGCCGCGGGCCCAGCCAGTTCGGAGCAGGGAGGGCATAGGTCGTCAACAGGGCGGTTGTTTCCAGCTTGCTTGGAGGCCGCAATGGGGAAGAAGGGTGGGAAGAAGAAGGGCAAGAACATCAGCCCGGAGGAGCTGGCGCAGAAGCAGCAGGCCGAGGAGGAGGAGAGGAAGCGGAAGGAGGACCAGAAAGAGGCCAACCGGTTGAGAGAAAGTTGCGTCATGGAGGAGAACCACCTCCAGCAGTTTCTGATGGAGAGGGAGAAGATAATATACTTCTGGATCGTAGAGAAGAAGACGCTCACCGAGAAGCAGGCAGACTTGCGAAACAAGGAGCGGGAGTACCAGGATCTGGAAGAGAGGCAGCAAATCGAGCTGAAGATGTTCCAGCAGCGGTTGAAACACCTGCGGTACCATCAGCAGGACGAGGTAGTGGAGCTGAAAACAGACGCGGAGGTGGCACTGAAGCTCCAGGAAGACCACCACCGTGTGACTGAGGCGGAGATCAAGAAGGACAAGAGGTCGCTGAAGGTCGAGAAGAAGGAGGCGGAAGTTTCCCAGGACGACTTCGTCAGGGCATTAAAATTGGAGCAAGACCAGAGGATCTTGGAGCTGCGACAGGAATACGACCGGAAAGCCAGAGACATGCAGCAGAAGTATGAGTTGAGAATGAAGGGGATCCGCGACGAGATGGAGAAGCAGCGTCGCAAGCAGATCCAGAAGATTGAGGAGGCGAAAAATGCGCAGATCCAAAGAGTCATGGGGAAGAACTCCAAGGACTTTGCCGAGATCAAGATATATTATACAGATGCCTGCGGTAAGCCATGACGGGGCGCTCGCGTAAATGTACCGGGGTCCTTTCGAAATTGTTTCGCAACTATTCTTGGGAATCTCTTTCAAATTAAAATCCGACCCTCCATCCCTCCAAACTCCGCCGCAGGCGCCCGGAATAATAATAATTTCAAATTGCGGCAGTACCCCTAAATTGGAGGCATACCCCCTGGATTTGCCCAGGACCCCCCAGGAATCTTAGGGGCCCTGACGGATTCTGATGGACTCTGCTGGTTTCCGGAGCCGCGTCCTGGAGGATTCCTCCCTGGACGCTCTCTTGGAGCCGTTTCGGGCCGTTTTGGGATTCCGCTTGGGCCGTCTCGAGGCCATCTTAAGTCGTCTTGCGTCTTGGGCCGTCTTGAATCGGTCTTGGGCAATCTTGGCGGCCCTGGTGGCCTGTTTGGGCCAGGTGGCAGTCATCTTGGATTCCTCGGAGGGCGCCAGGGGCATGTCTCGGCGCCGCATCTTGGACACCATCTGGTATCTGGAATCTAGATGTCTGCCACCTTGGATTCCTCGGAGGGTGCCGGGCCATGTCTCGGACATGGCCCGGCACCGTTCGGCGCCGCATGTCCGTGCATGTCTCGGTGGCAGTCATCTTGGATTCCTCGGAGGGCGCCGTATGGAAAAAGTATTGAGTGGCAATGCATCGCCTCATGTTGAGGCCCAGAATGCAAGTGAAACAATTGGTTTTTCTCAACCAGTTTTCTGGTGACCCACCCCTTCGTGGGTCACCTGGTGTGCTTGCGCCGTATGGCAAACATATTGAGTGGCAGTGCATCGCCACATGACGAGGCCCAGGATGCAAGTGAAACAATTTGTTTTTCTCAACCAGTTTTCTGGTGACCCACCCCTTCGTGGGTCACCTGGTGTGCTTGCGCCGTATGGCAAACGTATTGAGTGGCAATGCCTCGCCTCATGTTGAGGCCCAGAATGCAAGTGAAACAGTTGTTTTTTTCTCAACCAGTTATCTGGTGACCCACCCCTTCGGGGTCACCTGGTGTGCTTGCGCCGTATGGAAAACGTATTGAGTGGCAGTGCGTGGCCACATGACGAGGCCCAGGATGCAGGTGAAACAATTTGTTTTTCTCAACCAGTTTTCTAGTGACCCACCCCTTCGTGGGTCACCTGGTGTGCTTGCGCCGTATGGGAAACGTGTTGAGTGGCAATGCGTCGCCTCATGTTGAGGCCCAGAATGCAAGTGAAACAATGGGTTTTTCTCAACCAGTTTTCTGGTGACCCACCCTTTCGTGGGTCACCTGGTGTGCTTGCGCCGTATCGAAAACGCATTGAGTGGCAGTGCGTCGCTTCATGTTGAGGCCCAGAATGCAAGTGAAACAATTGGTTTTTCTCAACCAGTTTTTTGGTGACCCACCCCTTCGTGGGTCACCTGGTGTGCTTGCGCCGTATGGAACACGTATTGAGTGGCAGTGCGTCGCCTCATGTTGAGGCCCAGAATGCAATTGAAGCAATTTGTTTATCTCAACCAGTTTTCTGGTGACCCACCCCTTCGTGGGTCACGGTCACCCGGTGTGCTTGCGCCTTATCGCAAACGTATTGAGTGGCAATGCATCGCCTCATGACGAGGCCCAGAATGCAAGTGAAACAGTTGGTTTTTCTCAACCAGTTTTCTGGTGACCCACCCTTTCGTGGGTCACCTGGTGTGTTTGCGCCGTATGGCAAACATATTGAGTGGCAGTGCGTCGCCTCATGTTGAGGCCCAGGATGCAGGTGAAACAATTAGTTTTTCTCAACCAGTTTTCTGGTGACCCACCCCTTCGTGGGTCACCCGGTGTGCTTGTGCTGTATGGAAAAAGTATTGAGTGGCAGCGCATCGCCTCATGACGAGGCCCAGGATGCAGGTGAAACAATTTGTTTTTCTCAACCAGTTTTCTGGTGACCCACCCCTTCGTGGGTCACCTGGTGTGCTTGCGCCGCATGGAAAACGTATTGAGTGGCAGTGCATCGCCTCATGTTGAGGCCCCGAATGCAAGTGAAACAGCTGGTTTTTCTCAACCAGTTTTCTGGTGACCCACCCCTTCGTGGGCCACCTGGTGTGCTTGTGCCGTATAGAAAAACGTATTGCGTGGCAATGCATCGCCTTATGTTGAGGCCCAGAATGCAAGTGAAACAATGGGCTTTTCTCAACCAGTTTCCTGGTGACCCACCCCTTCGTGGGTCACCTGGTGTGCTTGCGACGTATCGAAATCGCATTGAGTGGCAGTGCGTCGCCTCATGTTGCGGCCCAGAATGCAAATGAAACAGTTGGTTTTTCTCAACCAGGTTTCTGGTGACCCACCCCTTCGTGGGTCACCTGGTGTGCTTGCGCCGCATGGGAAAAGTTGAGTGGCAGTGCGTCGCCTCATGTTGAGGCCCAGGATGCAAGTGAAACAATTGTTTTTTCTCAACCAGTTTTCTGGTGACCCACCCCTTCGTGGGTCACCTGGTGTGCTTGCGCCGTATGGAAAACATATTGAGTGGCAGCGCATGGCCACATGACGAGGCCCAGGATGCAGGTGAAACAATTTGTTTTTCTCAACCAGGTTTCTGGTGACCCACCCCTTCGTGGGTCACCTGGTGTGCTTGCGCCGTATGGCAAACGTATTGAGTGGCAATGCATCGCCTCATGTTGAGGCCCAGAATGCAAGTGAAACATGGGTTTTTCTCAACCAGTTTTCTGGTGACCCACCCCTTCGTGGGTCACCTGGTGTGCTTGCGCCGTATCGAAAACGCATTGAGTGGCAGTGCGTCGCTTCATGTTGAGGCCCAGAATGCAAGTGAAACAATTGGCTTTTCTCAACCAGTTTCCTGGTGACCCACCCCTTCGTGGGTCACCTGGTGTGCTTGCGACGTATCGAAATCGCATTGAGTGACAGTGCGTCGCCTCATGTTGCGGCCCAGAATGCAAGTGAAACAATGGGTTTTTCTCCACCAGTTTTCTAGTGACCCACCCCTTCGTGGGTCACCTGGTGTGCTTGCGCCGAATGGCAAACATATTGAGTGGCAGTGCGTCGCCACATGACGAGGCCCAGGATGCAGGTGAAACAATTTGGTTTTTCTCAACCAGTTTTCTGGTGACCCACCCCTTCGTGGGTCACCTGGTGTGCTTGCGCCGTATCGAAAACGCATTGAGTGGCAGCGCGTCGCTTCATGACGAGGCCCAGGATGCAGGTGAAACAATTTGTTTTTCTCAACCAGTTTTCTGGTGACCCACCCCTTCGTGGGTCACCTGGTGTGCTTGCGCCGCATGGAAAACGTATTGAGTGGCAATGCATCACCTCATGTTGAGGCCCCGAATGCAAGTGAAACAATTTGGTTTTTCTCAACCAGTTTTCTGGTGACCCACCCCTTCGTGGGTCACCTGGTGTGCTTGCGCCGTATCGAAAACGCATTGGGTGGCAGTGCGTCGCCTCATGTTGAGGCCCAGAATGCAAGTGAAACAATTGGTTTTTCTCAACCAGTTTTTTGGTGACCCACCCCTTCGTGGGTCACCTGGTGTGCTTGCGCCGTATGGAACACGTATTGAGTGGCAGTGCGTCGCCTCATGTTGAGGCCCAGAATGCAAGTGAAGCAATTTATTTATCTCAACCAGTTTTCTGGTGACCCACGCCTTCGTGGGTCACCTGGTGTGCTTGCGCCGCATGGGAAACATATTGAGTGGCACTGCATCGCCTCATGTTGAGGCCCAGAATGCAAGTGAAACCATTTGTTTTTCTCAACCAGTTTTCTGGTGACCCACCCCTTCGTGGGTCACCTGGTGTGCTTGCGCCGCATGGAAAACGTATCGGGTGGCAGTGCATCGCCTCATGACGAGGCCCAGAATGCAGGTGAAACATGCTGTTTTTCTCAATCAGTTTTCTGGTGACCCACCCCTTCGTGGGTCACCTGGTGAGCGTGCGCCGTGAGGAAGCCCAGAATGCAAGTGAAACACCTGGTTTTTCTCAACCAGTTTTCTGGTGACCCACGCCTTCGTGGGTCACCTGCTGTGCTTGCGCCGCATGGAAAACGTATTGAATGGCAGTGCATCGCCTCATGTTGAGGCCCAAAATGCAAGTGAAACAGTGGTTTTTTTTTCAACCAGTTTTCTGGTGACCCACCCCTTCGTGGGTCACCTGGTGTGCTTGCGCCGTATGGCAAACATATTGAGTGGCAGTGCATCGCCACATGACGAGGCCCAGGATGCAGGTGAAGCAAACATTGTTTTTCTCAACCAGTTTTCTGGTGACCCACGCCTTCGTGGGTCACCTGGTGTGCTTGCGCCGTATGGCAAACGCATTGAGTGGTAATGCATCGCCTCATGTTGAGGCCCAGAATGCAAGTAAAATAATTTGTTTTTATCAACCAGTTTTCTGGTGACCCACCCCTTCGTGGGTCACCTGGTGTGTTTGCGCCGTGAGGAGAACGTATAGAGTGGCAATGCATCGCCTAATGTTGAGGCCCAGAATGCAAGTGAAACAATGTGTTTTTCTCAACCAGTTTTCTAGTGACCCATCCCTTCGTGGGTCACCTGGTGTGCTTGCGCCGGATCGAGAACGCATTGAGTGGCAGTGCGTCGCCTCATGTTGAGTCCCAGAATGCAAGTGAAACAGTTGTTTTTCTCAACCAGTTTTCTGGTGACCCACCCCTTCGTGGGTCACCTGGTGTGTTTGCGCCGTGAGGAAAACGCTTTGAATGGCAGTGCGTCGCCTCATGTTGAGGCCCAGAAGGTAAGTGAAACAATCGGTTTTTCTCAACCATTTTTCTGGTGACCCACCCCTTCGTGGGTCACCCGGTGTGTTTGCGCCGTATGGCAAACATATTGAATGGCAATGTTTCGCCTCATGTTGAGGCCCAGAATGCAAGTGAAACAATTTGTTTTTCTCAACCAGTTTTCTGGTGACCCACCCACTTCGTGGGTCACCTGGTGTGCTTGCGCCGTATGGCAAACATATTGGGTGGCAGGTGTAGCAATTTTTTGTATCAACCAGTTTTCTGGTGAC